TTGTGTGAGTGGCTCATAAAAGAAGGAATACATTTTATATGCAAATAATTTGTTACCAAATTGATACACTCACACACACAAACACACACACACCTTTTTTCAGGTGGTCACATGACTAGTGGGGTCCTCCTCTTCCTCCTCTTTAATGGTGGGCAGTACTTCTTAATGGGGCGACCTTCGCAATGAAGAGTGAGCTCCATTCTTTCAGCTGCTATGAGCTGGAGCCGGCACGAGGACACACCCAGGGGGTGTGTCCATGACGCCGTGAGCTCTCAAGAAGTGGGTTGAGTGTCGTCGGCTATCATTCAACCTAGAGGAGAACCAGCAGGAGGAGGAGGAGGGAGCCTGCGGGAGGACAGAGATGGAGAAGAGAGGTAAGTATTGAAGCTCAAGCTCCATTTTTTTTATTTAAAAGCTGCTGTTGTGTTAATTTTTTTAATTAGTAACAAGAATTGGAAAGTTTGTAAACTCATAATATATAACGTTGCAATCTTTCAGGTGATGATGACGAATTTGTGAACCCTTCCGCTCTGGTGCGGTACATCAAGGAACATGGAACCCCACGCTCCCTGCATGGTGCGTTGCAGCATCATTCTATTGTCCTCCGTTATTCTAAATACCAAGTCTCGACGTCTTTGTTTCCAAACCCCAAATACCCCAATTTCCTGTCCGGCGGGGGCTACCTCTTCCCAGGGGCCTCTCTCCCGCTCCTCTACCGGGCTTCACAGGAAATCCCCGTCTTCCCACTGGATGATGTCTATTTAGGCTTCCTGGTCCTGGCCGCCAACCTCTCCCTGACCAACGACAAACGCTTTTACGTCTGGGGGCTGAAGTTCGATCCCTGCCACTTCCGGCAAGCGTTGGTGGTCCACGGGATCAATATGGAGAACTTGGTAAAAATGTGGGCAGAGGTCCAGGAAGCAAAGTGTGAACCTGCAAAAGCCGCGGTCAGGTGACCTCCATGGACGGGCCAAACCGGTCCGAATGCCCAAGATCGATTTCCAACGGGTCAGTGACCATGAAACTTCTGGAAAAATTGAAAGGCTGGACCAGCCGATGCTTTTTAAATTTATATATAACCTAAAACTGATGTGACTTTTAAGAGAGGCGTCATTTGCTTCCATGAGGCCTGAACATGCTTTTACAATAAAATGTTTACAAATTTTGCCAAATCCAACCAAAAAAACAGCCGATGAATGCAAACTAGGCACCGGAAGATGCCGATTCACCCGAATTCCTTTGCGGTGGGGAGCCGTGTAATCCGGGGGTACCTGACGTAGGGGGAAATTTGCTGCTTTTCATCAATTGCAATTCTTAAAGGGCAATCCGGGGGTCCTCCCATAATGCAATGCAAGGCACTTCTCTAGACATTGCTTCTATCAATGGAACAGTTTGTCTTCAGAATTTGCATCCACTGGCCAATAACAGCTATGTTTGCTATGATTACCTGTTTTATTGGAATACAAAATGGCTTTTCATGGATTCTAAATAAAATTGCGTAAATAAAATTGGAGAAAGTTGTAAAAAAACTCCAGAAATTTACAAAATGAACCCTTTCAGTGGGACCCCCAGGTGGGCTGGTCACACTCCTTACCTGTCCGCCTCTTCTTCCTCCGTCTTCCCTCCTCCGTCGCCGGCCCGCTCCGTCCTCCGATCCGAAGTGATCGCTGTTCGGCTATTCACTTCAGGCTTGTACGGCTGACTTCAGCCGTATATCGGGTATGCATGTACATCGGGATGCTACCCCTGCCCTAGACCATCCCCTCCCCCCGCACTGCGACCAGCTACCCCCACACTGCAAGGGTTATCCCAGAGTTCTTCTAAAGGGGTCTATTTAGAACTCTTCTGCCCAGACATACGCTGAGCGACTCCCATTCTTATGGCTTCCCACCATTACATGGAGCCGAGAAGCCTAGGACATTCCCGTGCTCCTCGGCTCCGTTTAGTGATATTCACTTAGCTTATGGCTGGGCAGAAGACCACAAAGTGTATCTGAACCCAAGATCCAAAACCAAACACATCGCCGCTTACCTGTCCTTAGGTGTGGCGGCTGCATTAGTTTTCTTTTTTTTTTTTTAGCCACTTTTCCCCTTTATTTTGACCTGGTGATCCCGCCAGTAACACTCTTCCTGCCCCACGGTGGCAGCGCCACACCGTTCAATGGAGGAGCAGGATTGCCAGGCCTACAGAACACCTGCCACTGTCATCTAAAACATGGGTGGGAGGTGTTCTGTCGTTTTCAGGGATAGCTGGGAACAATGTAACTGATAACAGCCCAGCACAGGCAGAGTGCACAGGAAGTGATCACTGGATTTCTGCCAGAACCAGCAAGAATTTTTTTGCACTTATTGAAATGATATAACGAAATGCTTTCATTGGTATATGTAACAGACCGAGAGGAACAAATTCAAAAAAAGGTTCACAAGGGGAACTGTATACACCACAAGGATGATCTTTACTTTGTTCTGGTTAGGTGAATGCTTGTCCTACTATGTCCTTCTTTTTACATAAAGCTGAAGCTCCCTTCGTGTGGATGGGGCCGCCTTCGTGTGGATGGGGCCCCCTTCGCGTGGCTGGGGCTCCCTTCGCGTGGATGGGGCTCCGTTCGCGTGGATGGGGCCCCCTTCGCGTGGCTGGGGCTCCCTTCGCGTGGATGGGGCTCCGTTCGCGTGGATGGGGCCCCCTTCGCGTGGCTGGGGCTCCCTTCGCGTGGATGGGGCTCCGTTCGCGTGGATGGGGCCCCCTTCGCGTGGCTGGGGCTCCCTTCGCGTGGATGGGGCTCCGTTCGCGTGGATGGGGCCCCCTTCGCGTGGCTGGGGCTCCCTTCGCGTGGATGGGGCTCCGTTCGCGTGGATGGGGCCCCCTTCGCGTGGCTGGGGCTCCCTTCGCGTGGATGGGGCTCCGTTCGCGTGGATGGGGCCCCCTTCGCGTGGCTGGGGCTCCCTTCGCGTGGATGGGGCTCCGTTCGCGTGGATGGGGCCCCCTTCGCGTGGCTGGGGCTCCCTTCGCGTGGATGGGGCTCCGTTCGCGTGGATGGGGCCCCCTTCGCGTGGCTGGGGCTCCCTTCGCGTGGATGGGGCTCCGTTCGCGTGGATGGGGCCCCCTTCGCGTGGCTGGGGCTCCCTTCGCGTGGATGGGGCTCCGTTCGCGTGGATGGGGCCCCCTTCGCGTGGCTGGGGCTCCCTTCGCGTGGATGGGGCTCCGTTCGCGTGGATGGGGCCCCCTTCGCGTGGCTGGGGCTCCCTTCGCGTGGATGGGGCTCCGTTCGCGTGGATGGGGCCCCCTTCGCGTGGCTGGGGCTCCCTTCGCGTGGATGGGGCTCCGTTCGCGTGGATGGGGCCCCCTTCGCGTGGCTGGGGCTCCCTTCGCGTGGATGGGGCTCCGTTCGCGTGGATGGGGCCCCCTTCGCGTGGCTGGGGCTCCCTTCGCGTGGATGGGGCTCCGTTCGCGTGGATGGGGCCCCCTTCGCGTGGCTGGGGCTCCCTTCGCGTGGATGGGGCTCCGTTCGCGTGGATGGGGCCCCCTTCGCGTGGCTGGGGCTCCCTTCGCGTGGATGGGGCTCCGTTCGCGTGGATGGGGCCCCCTTCGCGTGGCTGGGGCTCCCTTCGCGTGGATGGGGCTCCGTTCGCGTGGATGGGGCCCCCTTCGCGTGGCTGGGGCTCCCTTCGCGTGGATGGGGCTCCGTTCGCGTGGATGGGGCCCCCTTCGCGTGGCTGGGGCTCCCTTCGCGTGGATGGGGCTCCGTTCGCGTGGATGGGGCCCCCTTCGCGTGGCTGGGGCTCCCTTCGCGTGGATGGGGCTCCGTTCGCGTGGATGGGGCCCCCTTCGCGTGGCTGGGGCTCCCTTCGCGTGGATGGGGCTCCGTTCGCGTGGATGGGGCCCCCTTCGCGTGGCTGGGGCTCCCTTCGCGTGGATGGGGCTCCGTTCGCGTGGATGGGGCCCCCTTCGCGTGGCTGGGGCTCCCTTCGCGTGGATGGGGCTCCGTTCGCGTGGATGGGGCCCCCTTCGCGTGGCTGGGGCTCCCTTCGCGTGGATGGGGCTCCGTTCGCGTGGATGGGGCCCCCTTCGCGTGGCTGGGGCTCCCTTCGCGTGGATGGGGCTCCGTTCGCGTGGATGGGGCCCCCTTCGCGTGGCTGGGGCTCCCTTCGCGTGGATGGGGCTCCGTTCGCGTGGATGGGGCCCCCTTCGCGTGGCTGGGGCTCCCTTCGCGTGGATGGGGCTCCGTTCGCGTGGATGGGGCCCCCTTCGCGTGGCTGGGGCTCCCTTCGCGTGGATGGGGCTCCGTTCGCGTGGATGGGGCCCCCTTCGCGTGGCTGGGGCTCCCTTCGCGTGGATGGGGCTCCGTTCGCGTGGATGGGGCCCCCTTCGCGTGGCTGGGGCTCCCTTCGCGTGGATGGGGCTCCGTTCGCGTGGATGGGGCCCCCTTCGCGTGGCTGGGGCTCCCTTCGCGTGGATGGGGCTCCGTTCGCGTGGATGGGGCCCCCTTCGCGTGGCTGGGGCTCCCTTCGCGTGGATGGGGCTCCGTTCGCGTGGATGGGGCCCCCTTCGCGTGGCTGGGGCTCCCTTCGCGTGGATGGGGCTCCGTTCGCGTGGATGGGGCCCCCTTCGCGTGGCTGGGGCTCCCTTCGCGTGGATGGGGCTCCGTTCGCGTGGATGGGGCCCCCTTCGCGTGGCTGGGGCTCCCTTCGCGTGGATGGGGCTCCGTTCGCGTGGATGGGGCCCCCTTCGCGTGGCTGGGGCTCCCTTCGCGTGGATGGGGCTCCGTTCGCGTGGATGGGGCCCCCTTCGCGTGGCTGGGGCTCCCTTCGCGTGGATGGGGCTCCGTTCGCGTGGATGGGGCCCCCTTCGCGTGGCTGGGGCTCCCTTCGCGTGGATGGGGCTCCCTTCGTGTGGATGGGGCTGCCTTGGTGTGCATGGAGCTGCCTTCATGATCACCAAATAAATAAGAAAAGAATCCTGATCTGCACTTCTTTCATCTTGAAGTCCCAGAAAGCATTTCAGTAATAATAAAGCGCCTGTTGCAGGGGACACCTGTAACATGACTTCCAGTTCTGTGCAGACTCCAGTGATCCAATCACATAAGTTTGCCAGATGTGTGGTAATGCCGGACCGGAAGGGATGAAAATTGGTTCCAATGTAATTACAAATGAAGGGGGCTTTCTCCTTGGAGGAGGTGAACCCGTGGTGAAAGTAAGGCGTATGTAGGATCTGGTTCTGGGCCGATACGTGTTACGGCAATGCATGTTAACGCGCACGTTGCCACAACACATAAGTGTGAATGGACCACAACAATGAGCAAAAAGTTCTGGATGGGGTTCCATTTTTCTCACATGATCTTTTAATGGGAAAGGTATTTTATTCTGCTACAGTTACCATCTGTAAGATGAAAGGAAAATCAGGTAAGTGGTTGAAGAAAAGTTAGTTATAAATCCACAAAGTTAGGTTCTTCCTCATAGCACGAGACGGGACACAAATGGGCATAATAGGCCAAATGACAGGAACACAGTGAGGTCATAGTCCTCGTTCATCCCTTTAGGGTACAAGGTATCTGACCTGTTGATCCAATATCATATCATAGAATGACTGACACGAGACCTCCTCTCCACCTGGGACATCTCACTTCTTCTATACATGAGTTGGGAGCTCCGGTGTTGCTCTGATGCCCAAAAATGTTTTGCCACTTGGGCTTTGAAGTCCACCCTGTGGCCATCCTTGCAAGTGTACCCTCCCTGGATGTCTTGTCTTCCCATATCCCTGCCCACATAGGCATTTCAATAAATAATTGACCATCTTGGAAGAGGAGTTGGCCAATGGACATACTGGAATCCCCTGCCTGGTCTCGGTGGTGTGAGGTATTTGCCCTTGAGCACTGTGTTGCCATACGTGCATACCGGGCGAGGTTTGCAATGACCCTTATCTATGTGGGGAGGTGGAGCACTAGGCTTCAAATCAGCAC